AAGCTGTTCAAAGAATAAAGGTAAAGGTAAAGGTTCCCTTGCTCGAAAGCCAGTCGAATCCGACTCTAGGGTTGTGGTGCTCATCTCCGTTTCAAAGCCGAAGAGCCAGCGCTGTCCGAAGACGTTTCCGTGGTCATGTGGCCGGCATGACTAAACACCAAGGCGCATGGAACGCTGTTACCTTCCCACCGAAGTGGTCCCTATTTATCTACTTGCAATTTCAAAGAATAAAATTGGTTTATTAAGAAGAAAACAAAATTTGTAAGAAAGAGGAAAGAGAAAGAGAAGTCTAACTGTCTAACGGGCTATGAGGGAGTCAGTAACTAACAGAAGCTCAGCAAGTGCATTTAGCCAATCAGGAGACAGGAAGGAGACTGTTTGAAAATTGCAGCAAATCCCTAATCTCACTGTGCTAACTAGTTGTCCCCTCTGCTACCCCCTGCAGGATGTTCTTGTCATTTTCTTTATCTATACACTAGGAAAAAGGCCCATTGTGGAAATAAATACAACGATCTCTAGAAAAAGGCTCTGGGTGGGTGTCCCGGCCTTGGACACTCGGTGTTAATTTGCTGTGGCAACCTCAGCAGGGTATAATGACACTGAGTCCACCATTTTCTCCAGAGGAACTGATCTCTGCTACCTAAAGTGATCTCCAGCCCTCACCTGGAGATTGGCAATGATGGTTCCCCAGAAGGGAATGGTTGGTTTGGAGGGTGGAGTCTATGGCTTTGTACCTGTCCGAGGTCCCACGCCTTCTGAAACCTCACCCTCTCCAGGCTCCATCCCTCACATCTCCAGGAATTTCCCACCTGGAGTTGGCAACCCTATCTCCTTCCCAGCCAATCATCAACCTACCTTTATTTCCCCCTCACTCTTCAGCTTTCCACCACCCCCACACCTGCAGCCTCTCCCGTGCTCTGAAACCCTGACTGCTACGTCACATTGGCTGTCATACGGGGGCCACCTCAGCAGCATATAAGGATACAGAGCCTAGCATTTTCTCCAGGGGAACTGATCTCTGCCATCTGGAAAACAGTTGTAATCAGGGCTATTTTGGGGCAGGAACGCATAGGAATGGAGTTCCGGCTGGCTTCAGAGTTGGCCACACCCACTACAGCTAAAACCTCTGCATGCATGGCTACAGACGGAAGGCCTGGAGAGTGACCCCCCACTGGCAACTCTGAGGCGGGCGGGCCAGGGGGCTCCCTGGAAGGATCAGGGAGGCATTTAAATGCCTCCCCATGCTTTCCCCAGCCTGTCTAAGGGCCAGCTTGTCCAGGCTCCCTGAAGCTGCGGGGTGCCCGGCAAGCCAAGGGAAGGCATGGGGACGTGGCCTAATGAGCTGTGCTGTCAGGGGTGTGGCCTAATGTGCTAATGAGTTTCTGCTGTTTGGTGTTGCTTATTTTGCTAATGAGTTCCTGCTGGGCTTTTTCTACAAAAAAAAGCCCTGGTTGTAATTCTGAGTGATCTCCAGCCCTCACCTGGAGATTGGACACATTTTACCTCAGAACAGCAAACTGTTTAGAATGTTAGAGGCAAAAGCCAATCAAGTCGCATATGCAAATGACCTCTGTGTTCTGAAGCAAAGGCCAATGAGGCTGCATATGCAAATAACCTCTGTGTTCTGACTGGCTATGGGGGGGAGAGGAACAGCAAACTGTTTAGAATGTTGGAGGCGAGACTCAAGCAATGCAGCCAGTGGATAGGGACAGATTCTGAGTGACACACCAGGGCGCCAACCAATTCCAGAGCGTGTGGAATTTTCTAGAGAAGTGACACCACCATTTGGCTTTTATATATAAGGGAGATGATAGACCTTGCATATTTCAACACTTCCTCCACTGAAATATGGAACAAATCCCTGGGAAATAGCCACTGATACCACTATCAGTAATTTGGATAGAGTTTTGTTTTATTAACTGTCTTGTTATATTAGTGGAATCAATGTTGTCCTCACAGGGTATTTTGTACATGTAACTGTCAAGGTACTTACTATTCTGTGCAGTGCATGCAATTTTTATTTAATTTTTTTCTCTTTTTTTCTTTCTTCTCTGTTTACCCTTTTTCCTAAATGTGTGTTTGTAGTTAAATCTTGTTCACCACATACCTGGTCCATGCACTTTCACAGTCAATGATTCCCCACCTGTCATTCAACCTCCTTTCCCTTTCTCAATGCTGTAGAATGGACTGAGCCCCTTGTTGTAGCTTATGCCATAGACGCTGAAAGGCCTGGCTGCTAGTGACTAATTCCCTGGTGAAGTCCAACGAATGCATTTAAGGAACAATTAAAGCTCCATTTACTGTTGAGGAATATGCTCCCTGCCAGTGCATTGTAAGAGTGCTTTTCTCCCAAAGAATTCTACTTTGACTCATTGGTTCATCAGTCAGGGCCATAAAACAAAGGTGTAAACCTGTCCATTCTACAGCTCCTGATATGCTGTATAGCAATCCATGCTGTGGTTGTTTTTCAAGAGGTATAGTCAAACCTTTTATTTAAAAAAATCAAACGAGAATTCTAGACACTTTTTTTAAAAAAAATGAGGGGGGGTCTTACTAGGAACTGCTGAAGATGCCTGCCTAACTATTCACACTGTCAAATATTTGTGTTTTCAAATATTACAGTACTGTTTTTATCATGAATTTCTTGATATCTTGCATATATAGTTATGAGGGCAGAACCTGCACTTTTAATTGTCTTCCGTGATAGCCATTGGGCATCTTGAGGTTCAACAAGGAATGTAGAGCATCTGCTTTGCGCGCAGAAGGTCCCAGGCTCATTCCCTGGCATCACCAGTTAAAAGGATCAGGAGGTGACTTGGAAGACTGCCTGAGATTCTGCATGGTCACCACCGGTCAAAGCAGACAACACAGACCTCAATAGACCAGCTGTCCAAATCACTTTAAGGCAGTTTTGCGTACTTGTAGCTTTGAACCAGTATTTATGTGTTCTGTTTTATTTATGAATAGTAGAATGGGAAGCACAAATAATAAAGGAATAAAGGAATTGATATGTCCTTAGAAGCAAAGGACAATTTAATCATCTTCCTGTGAGAACTTTATTGGACACACATTAGAAGTACCGAGTTGCAAATGCTACAGGAAGGCAAACTACTTGTAGCACTGAGAGTTTACCACCAGAGCCATTAATTAACTGCAGATTTCTGCACCCATCTGCCAGCTTCCTGCAGGCTGTGAAGACAACTCCATTTCTCATCTCTTTCAGACTGGTAATTTCCAATGGCAGGAAGGCACAGGGCACCCATAACTATATTGGCTAGCTACCATCTCTATATATATTTATGTACCAGAGCCAGTTTGGTGTAGTGGTTACGGTAAGTGTGCGGACTCTAATCTGGGAGAACCAGGTTTGATTCCACACTCTCCTCCACACAGCTGCTGGATGGCCTTGGGCAAGCCATACTTCTGTCAGAGCTGTTCTTGAAAGAGCAGTTTCTCTCAGAGCTCTCTCAGCCCCACCTACCTCACAGGGTGTCTGTTGTGGGGGGGAGGAAAAGGAGTTTGTAAGCCACTGTGAGACTCCTTTGGGTAGTGAAGGGTGGGGTATAAATCCAATCTCCTCCTCCTCCTCTTCTTCTTCTTCTTCTTCTTGCAGTCTATTTCTGCAGCCCACAGTAACAGGCTGAGATGAGATACAAGAGTAGTAATGAAACTAGCAAACCTCACTGTGCCACATGTTCAGTATTTTTCTAATCTTGTAAGAAATTATATTCTTGACGGGCAGTCTGCATTTCTGGGCTAAATGCTGACCTTTATCTTATTGTCAGTAATACCATGAAAAACAAATCTACAAACAGCTTAATAACAAACACAGGGGGGTTTATAAAGAGAAGAAGAAGAGGAGATTGGATTTATACCCCACCCTTCACTACCCAAAGGAGTCTCACAGTGGCTTACAAACTCCTGTCCCTGTGAGGTATGTGGGGCTGAGAGAACTCTGACAGAAACTGCCCTTTTTCAAGAACAGTTGTGCCAGAACTATGGCTTGCCCAAGGTCATCCAGCAGGTGCAAGTGGAAGACCCTCCTCATCCCTTGAGTCACAAAAAATTACAGATAGGAAGGGCTGAGGCTTTCTCAGGACTTGATTTGGTGACTGTTGGGGAAAAGATGGGCCCTAGTGAAGCTGGTAAGATTTCTGGGGGCAAAATATGCTGAGCATTAGATTGTGGGCCTTAATGAAAGCCACTGAGGCATAAGCTCCTGAATGCCCTAAATTTTTTAAAAAGAAAACTGACATGCAGCTTTTATTTAAAACCAGTCCCCCAAATATTGTCTTCTGCATAGACAAGCTGGCTGTGGTCCAGAAGATCCCTGCAATCTGAGCTGAGGCCCATTCTGTCCAACCCTCTGTGAAAAAGAAGAGAATTTGTCCTGAGTATGATTTCAGCTCACAAACTATCTCATAAAATGCCCATTTTCTCCATTCCAAATTAGTTTCTTTTTCATTCCTCCTTATTACAAATTTCAATTTAAGATTAAGAGATCGTCCATGACAAAAGCTGTTAAATTCCTTTTAGCTGACATTGAGGCGAGTCTGCTGAGTAATATTTGACTCTTGCCATCTTTTATACATAAACAGCTCTGTATGTTCCTAAATCCTGCAATTTTACCTTCCCAGACTGCCATTTAAATGCATAACCAAGTGACACAGGCATGTCAAAGATGCATTGTGCATCTTTACTGTATAGCATTACAGTAGCACATGATGCCACAGGTTGGACAACTCAGTGACTTTGTGCATACAGTGGCTGATGTGGCAGTGTTGGTGTTGTTTAAGTCAGAGATACAAGAAGTCCTTGATTGACCACTTAAAGTTTGTATCTTTGGTGTTCACGTGATTCATTGGTTCTGTTGCATTCAGGGTTAAATTTCTAGTACCTATTGGTGAACCTCTTATTTTTGTGCCTTGCCTGTGCTAACATTTTGTTCCATGTGTCTGTCACCCTCTGTCCTGCTCCGCTTTCTTGACATGCCCATGCAGATGGCAATAAGGAATGACTCCTCGGAGACCCACAGCTCAGAAAGCAAAGAGAACATCCATGCCGAGGTGAGTGAACTCTCTGATCCAAATTTGTCAGCACCGTCCACTGAAGATCTGTCAGTCATTCTGAGGCCCTCAGAAGCACAAGATTCAGCTAGCTGGGGGCGATCAAGTGTTCACACTCAACAACATTCTCTCAATCAGTATAACATTTGCAAGCACGTGCCGGATTCGTGTGCCTGTACAGACTCCCTTCAGGAACTGCCTGGAGACCCGATGGATCAAGAAGTATCAGAAATAAATAGCTCTTTTACTTCAGGAACATGTTCTGCCATGAGTGCCTCGTCAGTGGTTCAGCCGGAGACCCCTAAGAGAAATGTAGGCAACAGTGGCAATGTGACTTTGAAGGACCTGAAGAAATGCTATAGTGTAGATACGCAGGGTCTTCTTAAAAAACCTTCATCTTGGTTAGATGATCAAAGGAGACATTCCATAGAAATTTGTTCCATGGAAAACAGCCCTCAGCATCATTCCACATCTAGCTCTTCTGGCTTCATAAGTCAGGTCTTAAGTGAAATGGAAGGTTTACAAGGAACACGACAGAAGAAAAAACCGAGTCCCCCCTGTATATCCATAGACCCACCTAATGAACAGAGTTTGTTACGGAGAGGATCTCACACTGCATCGTCTTCCAGTGCAGAAGTTTGCCTGGAGAGGCCTGCGCCGTCTTGGGATTCCAAAGATTCCATGGACGCGGGGGACTTGGCACTTCCACACAGTATGTCAGTATCTCCAGCCCCAAAGAAAGACTTGTTGACACTTCCTAGTTTTTCCTTTGATCAACCAGATGCAGACCCTTGAGTTTGTTCATTTATTTTCTGTTGGTGCCAAATGTTTCTTTTATCCCTTCTGTAATAAATTAAATCTCTCTATTTTAAAATGGCACTGATTTTTAAAAGAAATCCAAAGAAAGTTTAAAAACTAGCTGGTTTTAAGAGTGGTTAAGCTATATCACGCTTACTTAAGCATAAGTTCTGCTTGAGTAAAAGCAATACATTGTTCAGAGTCTATATGTATATTCTATTTTATTAAATTAATTGAACCTAGTATTGCAGGATTTAGTACCTTTTTTGGCTTAAACACCTGTCCTATTTTCTTCTGTTCTATGTATCTCAGAATATTCCTGAGATTACGTTTTTAATGAACATTTTAACCTTGGAAAAAATGCATATTTAAACACCCCCCCTTTTTTGGTTTTCTTTTGCAAAGCACAAGATGTAGCCATTAGTGCATTATTGAGGAAATGTGTCCCGTGGCCACCCAGAGCTGAGAATATTTGCATTTATAATGTAATTCATCCACCTGCCCCTCAACTGTTTTTCTGTAGAAATTAGCAATTTGGATATTTTTACAAATGTAATGACATTGTTTTTAAAAAAACTCCAAAATAAATTTCATTATCATAGAGACAGAGCAAAACCAAGTGCACAAGCTTTACAAACGTATGATGTAGAGGTAGATGTGCAAAGAGAGAATTCCATATTGTCTTATGCGCCAGGCATTTGCCACTGAATTCAGTAACAACAACCTTTATGAGCATGAACACCGAAGGTGAGAGCCACTCTGCTTTCTCATTGCCCTTCCTACATGTGCTAAGTGTGATGACCAGCAGGAGGAGAAAAACTTGTGATGCAGCAGGTTGTATTGTTATCCAATACCACACAGAAGAATTTTATGTGCTTTGCCCAGTTATCCTTCTCCCATTTCTAAAGGTGCAGCAGCAGAACCCAGCAGTGGCAGTAACTGCCTTGCGAAAACAGTCCATGTCTGTGCAGCCTGTCCCCCAGAGGTGCTAGGGGAGTGGGATCATTCCAGGGAAAGGAGTTACCATCCCTTTTGTCATGGTGGCACCAGTGGCCATCCGTTACTTGCTATGGATTCAGACACATCATACAGTGATATCAGTTTAGTTTATTCCTCATTATTCCTAACCAACAAATTAAGTCCATTTTCAAACGTTATGTGCATGCATATTGGGATCCTGTCAAGTGCGCATACCAGGAAGCCATGCTACCTGTGATGCTCTCAATATGCATAGTTGCCACGATGTCTGAAAAGAGGAATGCACATATCTTGCAAGTGTGTGCACCCTTGATATTTGAGCACCAGAACCCTGGAAAATCCAGTGGTCAGTTTGTGCATAGTGAGAGTGTACACGCATGCAAAATATGTACAGTGCCTCTGATCAGACAACATGGTGGCTGTGCATATTAGAAGAATCTACACATGGTTGCCAGCCTCCCAGTATGGTTGGACATAATGTCTGAAAAGGGCAATAAACTGTTGCATTTATTCTTGGTCAGTGAGCCATGGCTCAGAGGAATATTTATGAACATGTGCAACTCCCATAAGAGTCCTTTCCTCTAGTAGTAGTCATACACTGTCTAAAGACATTGGTAAATTCCTGAACTTTCCCACTGCAATCCTAACCACATTTACAGAAGGAAGTTCCACTTATTTCAGTCAAGCGTACTTCCAAGAAAAAGGCTCACAGCTGTAGAGAAATTAATGAATCTTGTGCATGGCAATGAAGGGAGCGACAAATTTAGCTGACAAGATTTTCCCTTCCATTGATCCTCCATACTAGCAAACCTTCACTTACTAAAGTTCTGAGTGTCAAGGTGATGTGAAGGGCACTAGAGAAGGGCCACTAAAATGCATGTCACCTTTGCTCAGAATTGTTCATTGAAATGCAGGGACCTCAGCTTCAATGTCCAGTGCAGCCACTGACAGCACCATTGCCAAACACTATGGGCCATTAGAGGGTTGAAAGTTAATCCCAGGGAAAAGCTACATCTGAACAACAAATGGATCATTTTAGAGGGCTTTTACATAGCAATATCAGTGCCAATCAGCCTATGTCTGAAAAGAGGAGTGCATATATTTTGCATGTGTATACACCCTTGATATTTGAGAACCAGAACCAATCAGACTATGAGAGGGACAGCCCTAGACTGATTCCATGGAATATGTGTTCAGTATTCAAGTATCAGTATTCAGTACTGTGTTCAGTATTACAAGTATCACACATTACAAGAGTACATAGGCTGGATCTAGGGTCTGCAACCTGTGTCAAGTATAACACAGCCAGATGTGAGCTGCAGCTATACCCACATATGAGATGCCCCATTCAGATCATGACTACGCAAGGTGCTATTGGGGTGGAAAACCACAGGTTCCCTGGTACACACACAGGCTTCCCCAGCAAACCAAATAGTGTCCCCCACTGATTCAAGTTGGGGAAATGGTGCAGGAGGGAATCTTGAAGCCCCTTCTCCAGGCATACCATGGCCTGATCCGAATTGGGCATTGCACACTTGGGGACTGAGGAGAACCTGCCACTCAAGTCTGAATGGGTCACTTCTGACACAGTATGGGGATTCCAGACACACCCTTTTATCACAATGAGTGAATCTATGCACACATGTAGCAAAAAGATATTAGGGCAGATTATCTTCATACTGATTGTCAATGCCAATGTTTTTCAATGTATATAGTCCTAAACTAATTGTGTTACAATGTATATAGTCCTAAACTAATTGTGTTGGACCAAAGCAGTACTGATGTTGACTATAACATAGGCAAAGTTTATTTTGCCTTAGCTGGTGCCGGTTTACAAAATCCCTGTTTTCACTGCATTCCATCTCAGGGGAAGGCGAGACAGGGAGGGGGAAATAGACACTGAGGCTTCTGATTATCATATATAATTTGCGATGGGTTTATTGTTTAGAAAAAAGAATGTCCTTATAATCCATAACCTTAGCAGTTAATGGGCTCCGTTCCCTATATTCTCAGGAAAGTCAACATGTCATGCTCAGTGTTCACTCTAAGCTGAGTTAGTGTGAGCTAGCTCACAGTTTTTTAGCCTCCAGCTCACATTTTTTTCTTAGCTCAGGAAGGATGGCTCCAGAGCAAACTGATTTATGCAGTATCCAAATGCCTCACTCACAACTTTAATGCCAGTAGCTCACAAAATAGAATTTTTGCTCACAAGACTCCACGGCTTAGAGGGAACATTGGTCATGCTTATCATTTTGCAGCCATGAGGGCTGTGGAGTACATATATTAATGATCCACAGAGGTGGACTCTGCTGTCATGCTGTCTTTCGTAAACCTGTGTTTGCCACTGTACTGGAAATAGCTTCAGCTCAGTGGAACAACCCATAAAGCCAAGTAACTGTCCATTTCAGTAAAGAAAACAAGACTAGTCTGTTTTCGTTTTCTAAATTAAAAGGACCCTAACTGAGATAAAGTGCATTTCTGTCACCCACGAGTTATAAAACTGCCCAGGGGTCATTTCGTAGAAAAAGAGCTAGGGGAACTCATTAGCACATCTCATTAGCATATGCCACACCCCCTGACATCAGGGGCCCGGCGGTGGACCTGCAAGGCCAGCGGGAGTGTGAGGAAGCCCCGCCAAGGCCCTCCCTGGCCCCAGGCAGGCAGGGGTGGGGAGAGGCGGGGAGGAAGCAACTTACCCTCCCTCTTCTCCTGCCTCCTCCTGGCTGAATGAGGGCTGGAAGCGGGGCGGCCGGCAGCAGGGGGCGGGGCTTCATCATGTGCCCCGCCTCCTGCACCTCACTCAGGGGAACTGCGTTCCCCCGCGTTCCCCCCGAAATGACCTCTGAAACTGCCACGCATCAGGGACTGGGGGGGGGCAGACTAATTCCCTGTCTCGCTGGCACTCCTTGCACAGTCCATATTTCTTGGGTTTGTGTACCTGTTTCTTTGAAAAACACAGAGTGCCTGCTTACCCTCATAACAATCCCTTGAAGTAGTTGAGGATGAGAATGATTTGTCCCAGGCTACCCAGTGAGCCTTGAAGCTAAGCAGAGGCATGAAATTGTCGGGCTGTACATTTTTAGCTTAACACTTCTGGATTAAAATACACGATACGTGTGGCATGAATCAGGACATGGGCCCCCAGAATGCCTTATTGTCACATGTAGGATTGGTGTAACTCACTTTGGAAGTGTTGTGTTGCTCCATGTCCCTCCAAATGTGGGGGGGGGGGCCCTTCAGGCTTCTCTCCCATGCCATTTTCACCAGTGGAAATAGCCATGGTGGGGGGATATTTCTCCTTCCTCAGCCTGCACAATGCTTTCAAAATGACTTACACCAATCCTGCATTTGACAATAACTCAGATCAGGCATCCATGTAACACATACTATGTATTTTGGTCCTGAGGCCTTTAGTCCACATTGTTTTGGTCTGCAAACAGCTCAGAATACTGTTCATGTCTTACCATCACTGTCTCCATTGGCAGCTTCTTACACTGACCTAACTAGCAAACTGATCATAGAATGTGGTGCAGGATTCATTATCATTTGGCTGCAGAAAATAATATTTATTTACTCTGCATATCTGACAATCCTGGGGTCTGCTTTGTCACAATTAATGGGTGCTCTGCATATCTATCCTTTTCATTAGACTGACATTACTTATTTCTATTAATCATGTTGCTCACCTTTAGAATAAAAACAGTTCCAATCCTAGAGAGGTGATAATTTAATAGGTTAGGTGCATTGGCTTCAACATAACCTGCTTCTGTGAAAATACATTTGGGACATAAAACAGAATTGGCACTTGCAAAATTATCAGCTACCCAAATCCCTTGAACCCTTGACTATGTTCCGTGTTGATCTCATCACCAGGTTGAGAAAAAGATTGTCATCTGAATTACCATCATGTCTCCCTTTCTCAATGTAGCAACTTTCAGTATCATTCCTGCACAAGCAGAATATAATAATGCTTTCATCATTCCAATCCACTAAGTCTGAAATGGAATATGAAATTTTGA